GATTTCTAGAAGCAGCATAAAAACCATACGCCCACCAAAATATCTCTCCCGAAACTCCAAAAAAATTCCAAAGATTCTTACTGCCTTATTTTCTTATTAGCTATGGGTTAACATCACCATGGTTTCTAGGGACTGACTTCTCTGCAGGGTGTTGTTAAACATACGTAGGCGAGTAATTGCCTGGGATTAAGAAATGAATGCTATTTCTGTGAGGCAGCTACTCCACCTCTGACCAGTCCCCTTAAATATTGTTTTTGGAAGCCAGAGAATGAACCTTGTGGATTAGCTCCCTCAAATTTCCTATAATTTGAGGGCTAGTGAGGCTGCAAAGAGATAATATTTCATCATTCATCACTGTTTAAAGATGCCCTTTTTTCTTTCTTGGCTCTGCAAAGCCCTTACCTCCTCTACCTCGCTTCATATGTCCGCTGATTTATTGACTCTTATTGAGCAGGTGAAAGTAAGTTTGGCAAATAAAAGCAGTTCCTAAAAGTCAGCGCCATGACAAAGGGAGCCAGGGTTTGTCCTGAGCTAGAATTATGTTCCGGAATCTCTTTTAAATATTGAATCTCTGCCCTGGAATATGTGGGGGAAACTTTGAATGAGGTTCCCTTTAAGTATCAACACAGCTCTGCTCTGTTTCAGTAGTCCCATGCTCCTCTGGGGCAAGCCAAAGAGGTTTCGGGGAGCCCTTGGCAAGATACTCCCCGATGGGCCTCCTGCTTATTAGGCACGGGCAGCAACTGTGGGGGAGCCCAGGCAGTTTGGAGCCCCCATTTCAATTTCCCACAGTGCTGCAGAGCAATCTCAAGGGCATTGTGAGAAGTTCCAATGATGGGCAAAGCCTAGTCTTGAAGAAGGCTACACTGCTACAGCTGCGGCTGCTTGCTTTGCCCATCCAAGCGCCTTTATTTGTTTCTGAGCCAAGGTATGTAGGTTGCTTAGTTGTTGCTGCTGCTGTTCAAAGAAATTCTAACCTGCCTTTTATGGCACACTACCCTCACAGGTAGTTTGGAGCATGATCATGCAGTTGCATGACAATATTTATAGCAAAATTCATGCAGTTGCATGTACTAGTAACTTCCTGAAAAAGGTTCAGAATGCAATGGCCAGATTGATCCCATGGATTTTAGCCCAGTTACTTCATCTGCCTGTCCATTTGCAGCCCAATTCAAGATGCCAGTCTTCACCATAAAGCTTCAGGTGGCTTTGGAACTGCAGCGCTTGATGGGGGAGCCCTGTGGACAAGCTGCCCCATACCCTCTAGCCCACATCCCAGGGGCTCCCCCAAGGGGAGGAGGTTGTTTCATTCTCCTTGGTGCCAACATCGTCATCCTCATTTTCCTCCAGGCATTTGATACTATATCATAGGTTAGTGGTGGCGAACCTCTGGCACATGTGCCACAGCGGGCACGGAGAGCACTCTCTGTTGGCATGCGAGCCAAGTCGCCCCAGCATTGCCCCAGCAGCCGAGCATCAGATAACATTGCCCATAGGGGCCATGCGCATGCTCAGAAAGGAGTCGCAGCACCAGGCGATGATGTCACATGCCACAACTCATGGACAACTCAAGTGACTTGTCTGAGCTTTCGCATGGCTGGTCAGTGCACTGCCAAGGACATACTGTACATGCCTGCTTGGAATGGCTTGTTTTTTCTAAACTAAAACCTCAGTTTTCAGGTTTTATTGCAGTGTTGGCACTTTGTGATAAATAAGGGGGTTTTGGGTTGCAGTTTGAGCACTCAGTCTCTAAAAGGTTCACCATCGCTGGGTTAGGGTTAGAAAAACAAGGTATTCTGGTATGATTTTGAAGGCTGGAATGTGTTCAGAATGGACAGAAATCTTGAGTTATGCAGAAAAAGCTACTTAAGGAAGGCTTTTTCAAAATTACCCACTTTCCAATGGAACTTTCGCCCTATATTAGGGTTAGGAGTGTGCACCAGGGTAGGGTTAGCACCAGGAAAAATGCGGTGTCCTGGCATGATTTTGATGGTTGGAATGTGTTTACAATGGGCAGAAATGCTGAGCTGTGCACAAAAAGCTACTCAAGGAAGGCGTTTTCAAAATCGCCCTCTTTTCAATGGAACATTTGCCCTGTGTTAGGGTCAGGGGTGTGCACCAGGGTAGGGTTAGGGTTAGGACAATTTGGTGTCCTGGCATGATTTTGATGGTTGGAATGCGTTTGGAATGGGCAGAAATGATGAGCTGTGCAGAAAAAGCTACTCCAGGAAGGCTTTTTCAAAATTGCATCATTTTCAATGGAGCTTTGGCCCTATATTAGGGTTAGGGGAGTGCACCAGGGTAGGGTTAGGGTTAGAAAAACGATGTGTCCTGGCATGATTGTGATGGTTGGAATGCATTTAGAATGGGCAGAAATGTTGAGCTGTGCAGAAAAAGCTACTCAAGGAAGGCCTTTTCAAAATTGTCCCTTTCAATTATATTTTACCCCTGTATTAGGGTTATGGGAGTGCACCAGGGTAGGTTTAGGGCGGTCATCGTGAACCTGTGTCACGCGTGCCATAGCAGGCGTGCAGAGCCTTCTCTGTCGGCACGTGAGCCTTGTCACCCCAGCATCGCCCCAGCAGCCGAGCATCTGATAACAGCACACATAGGGGCCATGCGCATGCTCAGAAAGGAGTAGCAGCGCCAGGTGATGACTCATTAGCCGTGTCTCTTCCGAGCTTTCACATGGCCGGTCAGTGAGCTGCCAAGTATATACAGTATCTATATTCGCTTGGACTGGCTGTGAGTTGTTTTTTCTAAACTAAAACCTCAGTCTTCAGGGGGAGTTTTGCAGTGTTGGCACCCTGCTATAAATAAGTGGGTTTTGGATTGCAGTTTGGGCACTCGGTCTCTAAAAGGTTCGCCATCACTGTCATGGGGCATTTCACTTTGCTATGAGCACCTGTTTTAAAATTGTTTAAAAACTGTTTTAAAATTCTGAATGTTAAAGTTTTGTATCGTACTCAATCATGTCAAGAGCTGCCCAGAGAGGTTTGACTCTTGGACAGTACAGAAATACAATAAATGAATTAAGTTTAAAATTGTTAGATTTTAAAGCAGAAGTGACACTAAGCAGGTCAGACAAGTGGAGACAGAAATAAAAACATATTCGGAACATTATGAAGAGCCCAGCAGCTTTCCTGGAAAGATCTTATACTTCTCAGCAACGGTCTCACTGAGGAATAGAAAGGGCCTTGCTTGTTTTTTTTCAGGGAACCAAGAAAACAGAGATAAGTGTTGAGGTCCAAGGTCATCTGAATGCTTTTCAGTATGGACAAGTGTTTAGAGTAAGTCCTGCCAGAATTTTCCCCACCTTGATGACTGTCTGAGCAGGTCTAACTTGTGAAAGAGAAGGGGGCAAGCTGCATTCTGCATGAAATGTGATTCTCGTGTGGGAGAACGACTCAAATAACATGGAATAGGCTTCTCTACGTTACAGTCAGGCAAGTATTCTGTGAAGGGGGAATGGAACCCTGCTTGATTTCTTAACAAACAGCCCTACCAGAGGTGAGGTTAGGCAGTGGTTGTACCCCACTAGAGCTGGAGCCCCAAATCTCTAGGCTACTCTGCCCCGCCATGTTGCTACCCACTGAAATAAGAGTCCGGGGATGCTAAGGAGCGCTGCCTCCTCCAATCCACCTGGATGGGCTGTGCTTTGGCTCACCTGTGCCTCACCTCCTGCTGCCTCCGCCCTGAATCTTTCTGCAGTGCTTTCTCTGAAATCCAGGATCCTCTTCTGCCTGGTCCATGCATCCCTTTTCACAAACAGGCATGACCCGAGGAGACTGAGCCTTTTAAGGAACACATATAGAGCATCTATTCCTGAGCCTATGTATGTGTGAGTGGACACACTCACTTCTAAGCAAACTTCCGTGTGTGTATGCCATCCTGTAGCACCACCTCTGAGTGCTGTGGTGACTGGCCTTGCTCCTTAATTCTCAATACTGTATGTCAGGACAGGCAACTGTTGGACATGAGGAGGAAAAAATACTTTGTACAAGCACAGAAACCAAGTAGAAAGCACACACACAGCTTCATATCATTTTCTTTAAAGAGGAGGCATCACCAAAGATGGAAGAGGTGATGCTAAGTGATTTTTCAGTGAACTTTCTTGTTGTCATGGGTCCAGTAAGACCCTACCAAGAATATTTTTTAATCCCCTTGGCTTGCAATACAATAACCACTGCCTCTTTTTATGCCTCGCCACCGCCCGCCAAAGTGTTTCCTCTCTTGTGAATGCTAGCAAATAGTTGGGACCAAACCTTCTTTGCAACAGGGAAAAAGCTTTTGCCCGGAAATCCTGGAAGATTTCCCAGAAACCCCCCAACACCAGCACCACTTTCCCTTAATGTATTACCATTATTTGGTGGGAGGGTGTTGATGGAGATACTCCTTATTACACTTAAATCTAGTGGCATATACTCTTTTTTCTAATTAACTTTCTTATCAGAATTTAATTTTCAAAAAGAATAATAAGAAATGTAATAATGATAAGCTATTGTTCATCTACAAACATGTATCCTTCCTGTCTTTATCTCTTGGCTTCCAGTTTCATTCGTGTTTGCTTAATTAAACCTTTGGAATATTAGCTTCTTGTTAATTTTTTTTTTTTTTTTACCCTAATACTTGAATTTTGCTGAGGTGCTTTAGCCTTCATCAGTATTTAAACCTTTATCTGTAAAAGGCAGATAAAGTTTGCTGCGCATTGCATTGGATTCACATATTTTTAATAGCCAATTCTTTGGGGGTGGGGGAAGGATTGTTTTCGCCATATAACAAGCTAATTAAACAGATTGGCTTCTGCAAAAGTTGTACTTTCGAGTTAATATTGATGTCTTGGATGAAAATAAGAGATGCTTGAGCGTTGTTGTGGCAAGGTGTGGAATTTAACACAAAGGTCTTACTTGTGTGTTAATTGCAGAAGAGGGCAACTGAAGTGCATGCATGCACACACAACTGGTCTCTCTCCAAGCTAGCTTCATCCAGCGACTCCAGCAATGCCTCTCACAGACATAAGACTCACACAAGATGAGCAACTTCTGAATCTCCTCTCCAAGGAGGGGAGAAGAAAATCCACAGGCAACCAAGCTGACGGCATCACTAGCGCCACGTTTCAGAAGGAACTCTGGGTGACGATCTGCTTGCTGCTGGTGGACCTCTGTGAAAAGTTTGCTTTCTACGGCATTGTCTGCAACATGATCCTTTTCTGCACCATCAAGCTGGGCTATCACAATTACCAAGCAGCCATGCTCAATCTCTGCTTTGTGGGTGCCTGTATGACCACCCCCATTCTGATGGGGTGGCTTGCCGAATGCCCAGTGGGGCGGATCAGATTGGTGTATATCTGCACCTTGCTGCATTTTATAGGTAGGTGCCTTGCCCAGGAATTAAGTGCTTGGGTTGGTTTTTTTTTCTCTGCCAAACATTTAAAAATGTAGGGTGTGCTCAGATGGCTTTCCAAATTCTGCTTGGTGCTTCTGTACCCAAAGAAGAGGCGGGAATCAAAGACACTGGATGCTTTGCGATAACAAAAGTCTTGAGTTTTGCATCTCCTGCCATGCAAGGTGACCTGGCCCATACTTGGTGGCCCTGCAACTGCTACGGGTGGAACGGGCAAAGAATAAGTAGATTCTTCTCAGAATAACTTTGATTTAATCCATTCTGATCCTGCTCTTCCAGTTTTCTCATGTGTCCGTTTTTCTTGTTGCAGGTACAGCCCTGCTCCCTGTTGTAGCTTTCCCCTTTGAAGACTTCTTCATAGATAAGCGCTACGTGCTTCACACCTTGGCTAAAAAGGAGCAGAAGGCCCTCTTCTACATAGGATTGTTGGCCATCTGTCTGGGCTCTGGAGGAATAAGAGCCTTAGTGTGTCCCTTAAGTGTATACAATCTTGATGGGCATGGAGAAAAGGAGCTTCTGTCATTTTTCAACTGGTTAGTGTGGCTTCACATTATTCCACTGAGGCAGGAACTCCGGGAGGAGTGTAATTTTGAGGAGACCTTAATAGTTAAAAACTCAGTATTTTACCTGAAGGAAGTTTGTTCTAACTGTTGCTGGGTAGTTTATTTGTTCTTGTTTGCTCCTTGGTTTCTCAAAGAAATTGCATTAGTGCTGGATTTTTATTAACGGTGTGCATCAGAGTTGGATGAAGCCTAAACATAACCTGACCCCCTTGGGCCATTTCTGGTGCTTCCTAAGTTGAAGAAGGCTTCCCTGCAAAGCCACCAGATCCAAAGCTGGGCCAAATTCACTCCACTTCCAGCCTTGTCCCTACCTTCTGTGTGGGGAAGAGAAGTGAGAACAAGAATGAGCAGTGCTTTTCACTGAGCATGAAATAAGTTAACTAAATAGGGTTGACATCATGGCTAAATCTAGTTCTTGCATGGCCATATATCCGCCTGGTTCTGATACAGGCAATCACAAGGATGGGAGCCAAACATGGTCTTCTCAAGCTGGTTGGCCAGAAGGAACAGTGGAGGTTGCATGGGGGGAAGGATCCCTTCCATGGGCACTTTTTGCTTTCACAAAAATAAATTCTTGAAATGTCTTTAGTCTCAGAACTGATCTCAATTCCCTGTGTTGGAGAGATGGCTGGGAGCTAAGAGACTCACCTGGATCTAGAAAATTGTGTCCTTTCCTTCCCCACCCGTTGCCACGCAACAAGCATACCTCTTCCCCTTTTGAAGGACCGGTCCAGTGTGTACCCAGCATGCACCCAGAAGCTGTCTTTATGTCTCGGCATTCTGGGAAAATCAGGGTAAATGGAGTGGCCTTTTTGCTTCTTAGAGACATGCGCTTTATCCCTCTGGGCTGCTTTCTACCCATCAAGGCTTACTGAGAGTCACAGGAGAACATGTTAGCCAAAGCTGTAACACCACTGATTCTGGTCCTTAAACAAGATCTTATGAAAAGCGCAACACAGCAAGGATTGTGTTAGAAAGGAAACATGAACAGAAAAGGCCCTATGTGCAGTGGTAATTAAAACTTTGGACTAGGAATTAGGAGATTGGGGTTTAGTCCCCACTTGGCTGTGAAGCTCACAGAGGAATTTGAGCCAGTCGCTGTCTCTTGGCAAAACCTATTTCATAGGGTTCTTGAGATGGGAAAAGAGGAGGGAGAGAACCATGTGCACATCCTGGAGGTTCTTGGAGGAAAGGCAGGATATAAACGTAAGAAATGTGTAAACATAAATGACCACATTGTCTAATGCCAGCATCTTTCTGGGTCCCCGGATGATTAAGGGAGTCTAGCCACAATGTCTTATGAATGCTGGATAGTTTCTTGCAAGGTTTCCTAGGGAGGCCATAGGAAATGTGGTAGCCAACTGGCAAGCTTGCCTCATGGGACATTTTTTAGGAAGATCTTCTCAGGACCCAAAAGCAGAGGGAAGCTAACTCTCCGGGTGCTTGTTTCACCTTATCCCTGGCCGTGTGATCTGGTCCAGGCACTGGAAAAGCATCCTTGATTGGCGTGAGGAAAAGTCTGGGGGAAAGTCTGATAGAACAAAATGCTTTATGGGAGTGTAGATATTTTAATATTGATAAAGTATCATTGGAAAGGTATCAGCTTCATTCCTATGGGGACAATATTTTCGCTATGTGTTCGTGATGCCTTCTCCCCGCACCTCAATGTATGCGGATATTTCTGATTTTGGATTAAATCCGAATGACATTATGGAAGGCAAAAGGATTGTTTGGTTCCCTGTAGCACATTCTTCCTCCTTGACCTACCCAAAGGAGAGAATAAGAGAGAAAAATCTTCCTTTTAAAAAATTCAATTCTGGGTTTTAATCCTTAATTAGCAACATCATTTTGATTAAATAAGACTCCAGAGAATTAAGGCTGAAGACCAATCTGAACTGTTGCTCAGGAGAATTTATTGTACTGCAGTCCTAGTAATTCAGAGTTTTTGTTTAATCAAAGTGACACTTATTCTGGTGTTGATTACAAAGAGAAAGATTAATGCATATGAAATGTATCCTTGGGGTAATCCAAGCAGAGCATTGCTTGGGGCATTTGCTAGACTAAGAACGGCAGGTATTTCCCAATTTCTTTAGCAGTATTCACCGGGGGGGGGGGGGGGGCATTACTGTGATTATAAATCTAGCAAAACAAAGCTGCGTGATTGTAAGGTGTAATTATAGGTGGTGCCTCCATACCTTGATAGATGGTCGTAAGAAGGCTTTGAAATACCCGATATGCTTTGAAAATAGAACTCACTGACAGAACTGCCTTAAAGTCGACCCTTAATTTTGCTTCCAGAAAGTTCTCTGTTTAAGCAGGCAAAATGCCAAGCAGACGGGAGAATCTGCTCGTACACCCACATGAGGGCCTGCAGCCAGATATTTTGCAGGCTTGGAGGGCAGGGACTCCTTGAATACCAGAAAGTTGAAAATATTCATAGCTCATTTAACCATGTTCAATACTAAACTGTAGGCAGCCAATTCAGCTTTGTCCTAAACGTGAGACGCTCGTTGAATGGAATATTCTCACCTCAGGATCTCTGATCCATGCGAGGTCTCCTCAAGCTGGTTGGCCAGAAGGAACAGTGGAGGTCGCATTGGGGGGAAGGGTCCCTTCCATGGGCATTTTTTGCTTTTGCAAAACTAAATTCTTGAAATGTCTTCAGTCTCAGAACTGATCTCAATTCCCTCTGTGTCAGAGAGATGGCTGGGGATCTAGTATGGATCTAGTAAATCATGTCCTTTCCTTCCCCACCCATTGCCACACAACACGCATTCCTCTTCCCCTTGCCCCAGATTTTGGAGTTTTGGCATCCTAACCCAGAGGTGTGTAACACGCATGCCACCCCTGGAACTATTATTTCTTTATGAGGAACAAGACAGCACTGCTAAAAGGGTGAAATTTTGCTTGGCAGCAAACTAATTTAGGCTCGTTTAGAACTAGAAAGTGTTGTGAAGCTCACCAGTGTGGTTTCTGGGGGAGAAGCGGAGTGTCTAGGGATTAAAGTAATATTGAGTGCAGGAGGAGATTATGTAAGCTGATTTAAGTCATTTGTAGGAAAAAAATGGGATACAAATCTAATAAATATATAAATAGACCCCTCTGGACCTCCCACAGTCTTGCCTGTTCCTGGCCTAGAGGAAACAATCACAGAAAACTCCATAGTGGCTAAGAGAGTCTCCTTCTGAGGTTGAAACCAGATTTCTGAGCCGAGAAAGCAGTTCAAACTTATGACCAACCACTGCCAAAGTAGAAAGAATATTAGAATGCACCCCATCCCATGGAGATCTGCCAAAACTAGGGATGCCCTGACATTTGTGCTCGACAGACTTCATGCCTGCTCCTCAACCAACCACTGGAAGTAGGCTGAGCTGAGAGCAGGCGGAACAAAGCCCTGCCCCAGTCTGTGCATTTTTAAAAATGCTAAGAGCATGATTTGCACTCTTTGTGCAAGTCTGAAGTAGGAAATGACATAGTTTGCAACTCACGTGTGCATTTTCTAAGGAAGAAGGCTTTGCCCATATACCAGTTTAATCAACCAATTACTCAAACTTGTATGGTCAATGGATTTAACATTTATTTAATTGGGCTGCAGGCCAATTTAAAAGAGAGGTCCCAAACTCAGTGAACCCACAATTCAAGCTCTTGTCTTGCCCCATCTTCTCCTGGTGATGGGAGCTCCCCCACCCTGCCGGTCCTTCCCAGCCCACGCTGCCTCTTACCTTTCCCAAAGAGCTGAGTCACTCTTGCTGGAACCAGAACTGCAGATTCCAACCCCTCTAAGCAAACTTCATGCTTTGACCTCTGAGTCATTATCTCCGCATTAATTTTTAACTGCTGGAAGTGTTGCTCTAGAAAATGAATGATTTTTGTATGATTGAACTGCTGTTTTGAGGTAGCATTCCCATCAGATATGGAGTTGAGGGGGTAGGATGTTTCTGTCTTCGGTGAAAAATGTAGAACCTTTGGAGTGCAATCCAGTACATGTTTAGACAGAAGAGGTATGTGCCTTAGTTGAGGGAGTTTTGGGCCAGTGTTTTCTATCTAAACATGCATGGAATTATGCCTTTACTTCCCCAGCTGCACAAAGCACCTGTCATTCAGCTCAGTGCTCCGAAATGCCACGCAGGGCTCGGGGGTGCTTGGCTCCTGCAGGGGAAAAAGGTGCAGGATGTGACAGGCCTTTGGTTGAGGGCTGTTCTTCTTTATTTATTTCATAGAATTTGTATGCCACTTTTCTTTAAACAAAGAAATCCCAAACCAGTTTTCAGAATAAATCCATGCTAAAATACAATAAAAGCAATCCTCAAAAGAATACGATGATGATTAAAAGCTGCCCAAGGCTTATGCGAAGGGGGCGGCATATAAGCTGCCTAAATAAATAAATAAATAAATAAATAAATAAATAAATAAATAAATAAATAAATCCTCATTAAAATACCCAAAGGTGGCTGATAGTCCTAGTGGTCAGGGAAATACTTGTGCAAACAAGTGTGTATTCAACCGCTGGAGGAAGCACTCCCTACCAGGAGCCTGCCTGGTCTCATTCCACCATGGTGGGGACCATTCCTCTGCCCCACCAGCCACCAGGGCCTGCATAGGCTGCCGCGTGTTCTACATGCCCTGACCTTCCAACATAGAGACCAGGGTGAGCTCTCCGTGAGGATGACTCACCGATAATCTATGACATGCTCACATTTTTCCTCTCTTCCTGATCCCTGTGACTGGTTGCATGGCAGGAGGGCCACATGACACGATCAAATGAGATCCTGTCTTTCGTGAGCTCATATGCCAAAGGACACAGCTGCCCGAGTTTCCTGTTCCATCCTGTTCCATCCTAAATCTTGGCTCTTTAGGAATGGAGCATGTGATGGTCTCTTTGCTTTTCAAGATGAGGAAGAACTGTTATTTTCTCCCTTGCTTTGCGTGACGGACTTCCTAATCTTAGACATTGCTGGATAACTCGCACAGTTTTTTGTAAAACAAATGTTTTGGAAGGAAGCTGAACTGGGAGATATACGTGTATATAAGTGTTGCCATTCTCGGGGCTGCCAAGGATGACCTTGGTGGATGGGAATCTCGGTTTCCTGGCACTCAGGCGTTTTGCTGGCACTCTTGACAGCCGCCACAGTGTTCTCAGCAACTGTAAATTCACTCAAATTGGATCTGTCATTGTTCTTTCTTTTGGCTGCTGTCTGTGTTCAGCTCGGTATGCAGGGCAGATGCACTCTGCAGCTCCGCCGCTGTCATCTTCTGCTCAAACAAGATGAAAGATGATTCTGTTCAGAGCTGCAAACCAACTGGGGGATTCTTGTGCTCTTTGGGCCTCCAATGTATAAAGGTTCTGCCCTGACCTTTGGAGTCCCCAAATGCTCTTGATCTTTAATTACTAGCTTTTAAAACACTGTAGAGTTATGGCTGTCAGCCTGATTAGAGGAAGTAGGCAGGATAATCTTCTGGGGGTCAGGTGGCCTAAGGTCTTGCCATTCAGAGTACAGTTCTCTGTCCAATGTGAAGAGAGAGATCCAAGAGAGGAACAAAAAGGTATTTGCCCCCCATCAGTTAGAAATAGGACAGCTGGCAGGACAGGCACAAGGATTATTCTGGATTTCATAGCATTCCTGTATTGCCCGATAGCTGAAGCTTTCTGGACTGCACACAAACACACGGATAATGAAGTGCCATAAAAATGTCAATATCTACATTTTAAAGCAATGTCAATAAGCATAGAAGACACGTCACGTGTGGGAGTACAGGGCCATCTCAGCCTGGTACCAACGGTGCTGGTGCCAGGCAGGCCTTAGTGGGGAGATCATTTCATAGTTAGGGGCCACCACTGGAAGGGATCTCCCTCTTGATGCCACCCTCTCCCTTGGAGATGGCACTCAGAGGAAAATCTCAAACAACTGGTCCTATTTTTCCCACTGCAGTGAGATTGATTTGCTGTTTAATTGATAGACTTTATTTCTAAATCTGCATGCATGCATATAATTTTGCATAGGTAATTTTTTGCCCTCTTCTCCTTTGAAGCGATGCATTTCCTGTTACTCAGCAATACATTAAGTGCCCACTTATGATGGAAGGACTGCCATTTCTGGGCCTTGCTGGGACCTGTCCGAACTGCCCCGTGAATCCCATTTTAACATGAGCTGTTCTGTTCTACTGAGTAACTGTGTTCTTTTTCTCATATTCTCTGCATTTTCTCCTGTAGGTTTTACTGGCTGGTCAATTTAAGTTCAGCCATTGTCTTTGTCAGCATTTCGTACATCCAGCAATCAGTGGCCAAAAACCTTGGCTTTCTTATTCCGTTTGTGTCTGTCCTCATGGCTCTGATCACAATTCACATGACACGCAGTGAGATGATTTATCAGCCCCCCGAAGGTAAGCAATCAAATTGTGTGCCTTCTTTAAAAAAAAAAAAAATCAAGGGAGGAAACACCTCAACTGTAAAAACGTGGGCCTTTCATTTTTCAGCATTCCAGCTTCTGCTGGAGCCTCTCCTCTCCTCTCCTCTCCTCTCCTCTCCTCTCCTCTCCTCTCCTCTCCACGGAGTCCCCTTTCATGAGTTGAGAAGCAGGACCAGGTAGAAGCTTTTCTTCTCCTCCTGCATTAGCTCTGCTCAGATTCCGACCAATTGCATTGTGCCAGTGCCATATTTCAGGTTTACACGTGGTATGAACAAAACTATGATTCAGATTATAATTATAGTTATTTCTTTCCCCCTTCTATCTGCAGGTATGATTTCGATGAATTTTCAGTTTCATACAGTTGTTTGACAGGTACCCTCTGTATGGATACTGTAGACAAGGATCCATTCTCTTTACTGCCTCCATCCAAATTCTCAGTGATGTGTGTATAAAGTCCTTTACTGTGTTTGTTGTAGATGCATTTCCTAATAAACCTTAGCGTGCTGTTATTCCCACATTGCAGACCATGATTTGAGACAATTCGTGGTTGCATCATCGTGGTTACGCAAGTTAAGCACTTCATAAATGAATAATATCCTTGGACAATGACCCTGTGAGTTTGTGGAGGCAACAGACAGCACTGCTGCCGTGTTTCCATGGTTAAATCCAGTACTCTCTTCTTGGTACCGCATTGGTCTTGCATGTCAGAGCAGAGTTGGTGCAAACTAGTCTTCTCTTCCTCCTCCTTTTCATTTCTTTCTTTGGGCCCATCTTTTCCCTAGTTCTTCATATCCAAGTTTATAACCTTGTTTTGGCTTCTTCCAATAAGATGAGTCGTCTAGAATTCTTCCCCAAGTCAATAATTCAAGTGCATAGGTGACCTTAAAGAAATGATTGGATTTTATTTTAGCGCTTGCTCGCTCTCTCTCCGAAAATGTGGGCCATGCATATGTCAAGCAGGGTTTCCATTTGCATTTCTTCATCCAGCTATAATTTTGACAATTGGCAGTTGACCAAAGATTGGGAGAGGGAGAAGTCATCTAGAGAGCCATGTAGGCTTCTAAAAAACTGTAATTAAGTAGCATAGATTAGCTCAAGGTCAGAGGAGAAGATTGGAACCAAGATGTTAAGGGGGAAGTCTGGGAGTCGGGGAGGAGCGATGCTTATAAAACAAGTTTTAAGCTGCTCCTGGAGTTTGTTGCGCACTCTAAATCAGGATATATCAGTGTGTGTGTTATATATGCCCTGATCTGAACTCCATTGTTTCACAGGATTCCCTGTGCACGTAGGCAGCGGGGCTAGTGTGCACTGACTGTCATTTGCCCATACGGAGTTGCCTCCTCATTGAAAGAGAACGAAGAGGCTCCTGTGGACTGGGGGGTTTCTTGTACGTACAGGGAATTCTGCACCAGAAATTATTCGCTGGATCAGAGTGAAACTCTAAACTCTTGGCATCATTAAGGGGGTGGGTCTGATCACATGCTCTGAAAATAATTCCCAATTGGAAAACCAGGAATGTGGAAACCAAAGGTACACAATTTCCGCCTGGAGGGAATGAACTTACAGCGGCACCTTGCCCTGCTTCTGGGTCTTAACTTCAGCAAAATAAACATACCATCTCTGAATAATGGCGAGTTACACCAGTCCATATATCTAAGATTATTTTTATTTCGTAATTTCATAGTCCTTCTTTGCACAGACACCTTGCTTTTGGGAAGATGCCTTGATTTCCTGCCCAGAATCTGGAATGTTTGATGTGAGCAGGTTGTTTGAAACCTGATTCTCACTTTGAACCTCAGCATGGATAGCTAAATGGTTAAAAACTTGAGCATCTTGTCAAACACCAAGCAAGCATGCACAGAAAATTGGAGGTGCGCCTCCTTTAAAATACAGGTGACTATTAGGAAGCTGTTATGCTGGGGCTTAAAGGAAAACATGCTAAATGCACTTGGCAGGAAGTATTTTGTAATCTGATTCTTCTAATTTTGAGTGCAAAAAGTATCAACTGGGAATTGATCCTGGGTGATCAATGGATTGTCAGGAAACACAGAGTTCAATAGTAAGAGTGAACTTCATGCACCTTAGTCACAAGCAGGGAAGGGTGACAAATTTGTTCAGGTTGCAATTGATGTGATCTCGCCTAATTTGCACTTCCTAAGCCAATATTTGCAGGGGACAAATTGCAGTTATTCTTCAGAAGGGGACACACTGTTTCTTAATGGCATTCTCCAGTTAAAAAATGCATATATGAAAATGTGCCCCAATTGTTGTTGTTGTTACGTTATATTCATATCTTACCTTTTTTTCCCTCTTGGAAGGAACCTAGGGCAGCTAACAAAGCCCTTCTCCAGTTCACCTTCACAACAATCCTGTGAAAAAGTGAGGCTGACATTCACTCACTGGCCCAAAGTTACCCCACAAGCATCATGGCTAAGTGGTGACTAGAACCCAAACCTCCCGAATCCCAGTCCAGCTCTCTAACCATTGCACCACATGGGCTCTCCTGTGTAATAATGCAATACCTAATATAATGCATATATTATTGTTTGTATACTAATATGCATTATCCTAGGGACACTTTCTGACAAAACCATGTATGTATATTATGCAAAAGTATCTACAAAAATGTGTGTTAGGAGTCATCTCCATAGAATTTTTTTCTTTTTCCAATGGATGTGGAAATGGGACAAAACTCACTTAGGGATGGAAGACTGAGAAATGTGGAGACACCAAAGTGGACTCATTTGAGCAACAGTTGTGACTTAGAGCACTGTTTGATAGCAGAAATTACAGGCACCACGAACAAGACTTGTGCTTGGAGGAAGTTGACTCAGGAAACTCTGTCCTGGGCTTGGTGTGCAGATGGAAGGCATGTCCCACCACTCTCTCAGGCTAGGCAGCATCCGTGAAGGAAGCTCCTAGGCTTCTCCTCCTTCCTTTTGCCTGTTGCCTCCTTCACCTGCTTCCTGCTCAACACCCTGTCAGGAACACAAGAACAAAGTATGTTGCAACAGCCAATTTGTCCTTCTGGGCCAGTGTGGTTGAACTTGAATAACTAGAGCCATTCTTGCCCATCCTAGAGATGCCAGCAATTGAATCCACAACCTTCAGCCTGAGCTGCAGCCCTTCCCCTGTTCCAGTCCATTTGTTTGTCCTCTTTAACCTAGAATGGCTACCTGTTGGAATAATGCAGTTCTCCTCGAATCCGGGACCACCATGGTGGTGTTCTCCAAAGTGCTACTTGTTGCATGCTAGACATAGAAAGCTGAGGAGTCTCTTGTGTGGATGAGATGGTGGTGTAGGAAGGAGAGGTTTGGCTTTGTTTGGCAATGGGGGGCATGACAGGACCAGCTGGGTCTATGCAAGGATACTTGAACCAAACAGACTGCCAGCACTTAAGCACCTCTTAAGCCCTGGGGGAAAGTGTCAGGAGCTGGGAAGCATCTAGATTACCTCTGAGGGATGAAAAGGAAACTATTTCTGATGGAGAGAGGGGAGAAATAGGCCATTGGCATATTCTGAAACAGCATAGCCAATCAAGGGCCATAGCAGAAGAAATACACTCCAGGGGCATCTTATGAGGAACACCATGTACAAGCCTCTCTGTGCTGATGCTGGAAGTTACTGGACCAAAATGGGAAAGTTGGAGTGTCTGGGATTAAAGTAGAACCTAGATGTGGTGGCCATTAAGGATACTGGATAGAACCCATGGCTTATACTCATCTCTGGATACAGCTTTATAGAAAGGCCGATGTACAGCAGTTCCTGGGGAACATGGGAGGTAGAATGTCATTGTGCTTGTCTCCTGCTTGTGGGTTTTTGAGGGACAGATGATTGAACAGAATGCTGGAAGAGATGGACCTTTGGTCTGATCCAACTCACCTTTCTTAAGTTCTTATGTCTTCTGTAGCATCTCCAGCCATTAGAACCATATCTAGTATGGAGCACCTTAGGACATGGCGATAATGTTCACACATGCACGGACTTGGTTGCACTGCATTGATCTCTCTCGCTTTTCCACAGGAAGTTGTCTGTTGACTGTCTGGGGCATAGTCGCCAATGCACTGAAACTGTGCTTGATAAAATGTCGGTACTTCAGCGGGAATGTCACCAACTGGCTAGACCATGCAAAGGAAAACTATGGTGGCCAGTACAGTGAAAGTCAAGTGGAAAGCACAAAATCCCTTGTCCGTCTCTTTCCACTCTTTGCCTTCCAAATCATCTACAGAATGTGTGTTATGCAGGTGAGTGAGTGACTCTCTTGGTCCTAGATGTATTTTGGAATACATTCTGGAGAAGGCTGTTATCATATCCTTGAGTACCATAGAATCCTGCCAAACCTGGATGCTGCACCTATTTCAGCCTCAGCAGCTCACGTACTCTCTTGCAATCTTGGGAGACAACCATTGCAATGAGTTTTACACGGGATGATCCTTGAAAGTTCTTTGGAGGATGTAGGAGCGAAGGATGCAGGTGGTCAGTGCCAGACTCTGAACCACTAGGAAGTGCTCAGGGATGGCTGGTTCAGAGCACACTGAAGGGTGTTGATGTGATTTTTTTAAAGGAGCATTTAAAATGATTACAAACTAAAAGGATAAAGAGGTAAGGAAATGATCCTTGAGAGAAAAGAGTGAAGCCACTTCCGTCCACTTGTTCCCCTCCAGGTGTTTTCCACTGCCACTCATGTAGTTCCATGTGGGCTGGAAGGCACCAAGCTGGGAAAGTCTTGGCTGAGGTTGTCTTGCTGGCTGGCTTGCTTTTGCTCTCCCTCTAAAGCTGGTTAAATAAGATTGAGCAGAAGGTAGAGCAAGATGTACTGTTAGGTTGCTAGATGACTGCAGTATATCCATTTTGTGCTATTCCCTCTTTCTTTTAGCAGTAGCAGCAACAAAAAATTAAGCTGTTATGAAAGAATATGTGATCTGCAGTTCATAAAATGTAAATTTGTGCCTCTTCATACAGGTCCTTCCAGCAAAATGGGGTTGAGCATCCATTAACACTGAGGTTACTCATGTCAACCCAGCCCATATTAGCCTGGTCCAATATCTGTTTGTTTGTTTGTTTGTTTGTTTGTTTTATATTCTGCCTTTGTTCCTTCCAAGGAACTCAGGGTTGCTTACATAATTCTCTTCTTCCTCTCAATCTTGTCGCCACAACAACAACCCGGTGAGGTAGGTTGGGCTGAGAGGCTGCGACTGGCCCAAAGTCACCCAGTGGACTCCATGGCTGAGCGGGGACTGGAACCCAGATCGCCTGAGGCCCAGTTCCACACTCTTCACCACCGCACCACGCTGGCTCTCGATATAAACTTAATTTGCCATAAAACCTCAGTGGACATTCCTCACGCAGAGAAAGTGCTGTTCTGAATGCCAGGTGCTGGGGAGCAACCAGACACGTTGAACTGGTGGTGCAGTGCAGCGAAGGTGGCAGAGCGGCAGCTGGTGCTACCTTCAACCATACACCTGTATACCTGTACGCCTGGGCCTGGTTCCCTTCCCTGTTAGATGCCCTGTGCTTTGGAGCACATGTAGAACAAGCAACGTGATGTTCTGAGTGCTTGACCACAGTCTGGATATACTTTTCAGTTCTACAACTTTCATCCCCTAGGTATTTTATTACTATAAAAATAAAATAGTAATAAAAGAGGAGGGACACTGATGTCCCTCAGTAGTATAGTAATAGGAATACTACTAATAGTAGTAGTAGTGCTGTCCCTGCTCTTTTCCCCTTGTGACAACTCAAGGTGGCTTATATTGGCTGCTCCATTTTCTCCTTACAACAACAACCCTGTGAGGTAGGTTAGGCTGAGAGTACATGTCTGGCTCAAAGGTACCCAGTGAGCTTCACCACCAAATTGAAACTAAAACCTGAAGTTGATGTATAGAATAATGATTTCTTTTTGGTAAACTGTCAAAAAGCAAGGGAAGATTGAGAGAGAGTCAGTTTGTGGGTCGTAATATAGGGTGTATCTCTTTAAAATTCCCTAGGCAATCTTGTCTGTTATGTTTATCTTGTTCACTTTAGTTTGTTCTGTTCATACTAGGTTTTTTTTATTTTATTTTTTCCCTATGCGTTTGTATATGTTAAGAAAATAAAATTTATTTTAAAAATGTGTGCCAAGGAAAAAAGAAAGAAAGAAACTAAAACCCGACTCTCCCAGCTGCCCAGTCCATCACTCTATCACACCACACTAGTTTTAATGTTATGTTCTGTATTTATTTGCTACGTGGGTTTGTATCTTATTGGTATGGATACATTTTCTTTATGAAATTAAAATACCAAGAAGATAACATTACAGAAACATATGGAAAAATAAAGAATGTAGAATCATGAAAAAACCTGAACTAAGACTAAACTCCAGGTGATGTTTTAACTCTGCTCAATAAGGATATTGAAATTTAAATTTGCAGCAAAGTCTTATGTATGTCTACTTAAACCCTACTATGTTTAGTAGGACTTATTCTCAGGTAAGTGTGTATAAACGTGTAACCTTGATATTAGAAAATCACCTTTAATTGGTACATTAAATGAAATTCAGCACATGAATTCTTCACATTATTATGTTTTCTCTGTTTTTCCATTATGGTATAAAAGGAATTCATTCTTTAACAAAATAATAGCACTTATATTCCCCATTCTGTAATGTATAGTCACCATAATTTTGTCCATAGAAAGATTAAAATTACTAAAGTTACAGAATGTTTTATAAAGTCACTCATATTAAGAGAAACATTTTATATCTCTCCAATTCCATGCAGTCAGCACTCTTTGAGCTATTTTTATAATTTAATTTTATAATAAAATTGTTTATTCTTAATATACTTGAATTCTTGAATTCTTAATATACTTGAATTCTTTTCATTTGATAAGCTACTTTGGATTTTTTAAAAGTGGGGTATAAATGATTATGATAATATATTTTCTTCTTGTCTCTCACTTTAATTTACCCTTCCCAATTTTTCAGTTTTAGCCTAGAAAGTATGTGCCTTTTCAACTGGTATAGACCAGGGATGTGAAGCTTCCAGCCTGCAGTGGAGATACATTTTCCTCCAGAGCGTCCTTATGTTCCTCCGGGGTATAAGGAGGAAATTGGAAATAGATTGGAAAGATCTACCAGGCTTTCTCTGTGAGCTGTTCCCCCTCTGTTGTGTAACAGGACCTGCCCTTTCATGGATGGACAGCAACCATGTGCCTTTTCATTGTAGATTCCTTCAGGATATTATCTGCAGACAATGAATTCAAATTTGAATTTGAATGGATTCTTCCTGCCAATCGCAGCCATGAATGTGATAAGCATCATTCCATCCTTAATTTTGGTTCCATTTCTGGAGTGTTTGAACACTTGTCTCTTCAGTGCTAAAACAAGTGGATGGCCTATTACAGTCTGTACTGGTGAGTACAAGATAAATAGATCTATAAAGGGATGCAGGTGGCGCAGTGGTTTAAACTGCTGTGCTGGTAGATCGAAAGGTCGCCGGTTCGAATCTGCACAATGGGGTGAGTTCCCGTTGCTCCGTCCGAGCTCCTGCCAACCTTGCAGTTCGAAAGCATGCAAGTGTGAGTAGATGAAAAGGTACCACTTCGGTGGGCAGGTAACAGCATTCCGTGCACTTCAGTGTTTAGTCATGCCGGCCACATGACCACAGAGACTGTCTGCGGACAAACGCTGGCTCCCTCGGCCAGGAAACGGAGGTGAGCACCGCCCCCTGGAGTCAGGCATGACTGGACTTCACGTCAAGGGGAAACCTTTACCTTTACCTTTAGAGATGCATGTAGATATAGATATATGTTAATTGCTGTAGACAGCAGCTATTACTTTGTGCCCAGTGGCATCAAACTAGTAATTGTTAATTAGAGAAACATATTTGGGGATGTGGAGAATCTGTGAACTAAATTGACTGGTCGTAACTGATGGTGTGGATTCATTAATCTTTACCAAACCTTGACTATTTATTAGAGACCAGAATGTATACTTTCAGTTAAGAAAATGTTACAATTACTTTATTCTTTGTATATGTGGTTTGCCTGCCTGAAAGGAACATAGAGCTGCATTTTTATTTTTTTATTTATTAGATTTATATCCTGCCTTTTCTTTTTTAAAGCATTCAAGGCAGCTTACACAAATCCTGCTCTCAATCTTATCCTTAGAACAACAACCCTGTGAGGTAGGTTGGCCTGAGAGGCTGTGACTAGCCCAGAGTCAGCCAGTTGACTCCATGGCTGAGTGGGGACTAGAACCCAGATCACAGGGACCGACAGACCAGATCATGTGTGCCACAGGATTCTTTCTTTTGTTCCTATTTTCCAAAATTTGACATCAGGGAGTGGGCGGCTATGCATGGTTACAGATGTTCACTTTATTATTGTCCCTTTTATAATCTATCATCCTGTTCTGCACCGGCATGGTGCTTGTTTGCGAATAAAAGCATTTAGGCTCAAGGCAGCTGAAGCTGATCCCATGTCTTTCCTGCAGTCATGAGGACTGCTGTGATTTTAGTAAGCTTAAAATGCAAACCTGCACAAGCTGGGAGTATTTGTTTTTTTAACCAGGATTGGCAAAAAGTGTGTGTCTTGCTTGCTTTAACACATCAGGAATGTGGGAGAAATTATAAGGCACGGAATGGACTGGAATGGACTGGCAGGGTGAGCTGGGGAGAGGAGAAAGGCTAGCTGTTTCCTCCATGCCTGAAGCATTGGAACATGGTCCTTTAATGGGGGAGGGGCTGCCAATTAGTCCCAGGTCTAAAATTAACCAACTGTGTCACTGGAGATAATGGCAAGGTCAAAGCATGGCTGAGCAGAGCTCTGAGCCAGCATTTCTCATATCCAAATCCAGCCCCTTACGCTGGCTTTGTTGGCCTTGCACTGAGTTATGAAGTTAGAGGTGATACTTATTTGAAAAGGAACCCCTTATTTAGATGTACATCTCTTAAGTCTTTCAGGTGCACATCTGTGGTAGGTTGTTCGACTGTCCAAACCAGATGTGGTTTTTGCAGGGTGGCTTATTTTACATGAAGCTGGAGAATATCTGGTTTCTTTGAGGGTTGTTCTTGCCGCAAAGGGTTGTTGTGATATTGGCCTTGGAGTGCCCCTGCTGCTTATTGTTACAACCTCACCAATGACTGCCTTTCCACAAATGCCCTTCTCACACTGGGGCAGGCTTGGGGGTGTGCTGAAAAAGTAGAGGGCACGGAGAGCTGTTGGTTCAGTGCTTAAAATCAGGAGGGTTAGATCAGCGGTAGGGTGCTAATGCTCCTCCTTTTCTAGGACCTTTCTTGCTGTGCTTGTGCCCTTTACTTGTGCTTTTCCATCGATAACCAAGAAACGGCTCCTTGGCAACTGTGCATAGATTAGTCTGTCCACAGTCTCTTTTGGTCTTCTCTCTTTAACTAATTTGAAAGAGACAGGGAAAATGACCAGACAAGACCACTCGTATCAGAGAGCCAATCACTGATTGCAAGGCCTAAAATCATTGCCCATCTGCTGCAGATGACCCTGAAATCTACCAGCAGATCCAGGTTGACCTGCCCACCCTTGTAACATAATAAGCTAAGATGGAAGCTTATTTGCACATTGGGAGGGAGCAAAAAGAACTGTTGGAGCTGGACTCCAGAGCACAGAGCTTCTTCTCAATGTGTTTGGGATGCTGAAGTGCCATTCAGCTTTCTGGAGAGTGTTCTGGCCTGAACTACTTCTTCCAAGACTGAGCAAACACTTAGAAGCACTCAGAAGTTGTTGAAAAGTTTGAGGAGCTCAGGGTTTCTACCTGGCTGAAACCACAGAGCTATCAAGAGAGGGAAAGTAGAATTGATGGTCACTCTTCAGAGAAAGAGATCAGTGCTTCCCAAGAAACAGCAAAAGAAGCTGTGCAGACCAGCAGAAGGAAGGTCACGGGGTAGCAGGACAACTCTAGCAGAGCTGTGATTTGCAACAGAAGGCAGACAGAAATCCTGACCTTGCCACAGTTCTAACGCTCCAGGTGCAATGCCCAGCTTTGCATTTGAGTATTTTCCAGCCTATTATACCAAGAGTACCGAAGGAAGAAACAAGCCTCCAACACAGATACCTAGTGGTTCAGATTGTGCCTCGGTCAGAAAATCAGTAGGGTGTCCTTCACTTCCTATCCTCAGTATGGGGATAATTTTGATCCACTTTATATGGATTACTCAGAGCGTATATTGGAAGTGCTTGACTAATATTTGTGTTGTCTGACTTGTCTCTATACCAGAGTGAGATATCCAGCACAGGGAAGCGATGAGAATCTCATTTCTAGCCAGCGCATATTTCTAGAATAAAGAGCAATCTACCATTTTTTTGTTTGGAAATCAATTCCCATTTGCATGAATTTAACAACTTGAGTGCTCCTCCAATTTTAAACTATCTCCGATCCTGCCGTGCAATTTAAAACACTCTCTCTCTCTCTTAGAAATCAACATTTCCTGTACTCCTCAACTAATTCGGCACCCCATAGCATGTGGCACAGCCAGTGCTGAAAGACAGGAAGTATTAATCTGACTAGAATTAGCCTAATTAAGTTTGTTGTTAAGCTTTGTGCAAAGTAGAAGCGTATGAAACAGCAGGTGGCAATTACTCAGGGTTTAAAATAAAATAATGTCTCGATTGAGCTACAGAAAAGAACTTTCAGATGGCAGTGATGCTAGTAGCTCTTCGGGTGACATTTTGAAGTCTAATGATGCTGAAAAAGTTCGAAAGGTTAAATGTTTCACTTGGAGTCCTGCTGTGGGTGTTTCGTGACTGGCTGCCTGGCTCTTGGAAGCCCCCTTTGCTGGCATGGCTCATGCCGCCACATGCAATGCTCAATTAACACAATTTCCTACCCTGGTATCCTGTTCCTTTTCTTGCTGCAATTATCTTGGTGTCCAGTCTGGGTACTGAGACAGTGTTCATCAGATGGGGAACCCAATTCTGGATGCTCAAGAGAGGCATCAGTTGCTGAAATTGGTCAGTTTTATATCTGGGAAAGGTTTTCACTTCTACACCCTACACACCAGCCATGGCACTGTGGAACAGAGTGGGTTGATTTAAATTGCCAAGGAAAGCTGACTGAAAAGAACTGATTTGAGTAATTTTCCATGGGCATATTCCATGTGCTTTCTCAGTCATCCTGAAATCCGGAGGAAAGGGTGCAATTCTGTTGTCTTCTGCCCCACAGGCGGCTCAGAGCCTCCAAACTGGCCACTCGCAGCCTTCTAGAGAAAACACCCAGACCAAGGAGGGAAGGTGAAGGGGGCTGGAGTGCTGATGGGAATCAGCCCCACCTCTCCCTTCAAGCGGGCCTCTCTTCTGCTCGCCAAGGCTCGTTGGCAGCTGTGCTTCTTGCTGCACAGGCTGTGAGGAAGAGCGGTTTGGGGCTCAGCCCAGCACTGTGGTGGAAGGACATGGCGCTGGTTCCTCAGACAACACTGGGAGACGATAGGATTCCATCCTCTATCATGTTAATGTACAGCTCAATGCAGTATTATTTACACACTTGTTTTATTCTTACACTCAGGTCTTGCACCTCCTTGTTGTGCTATAAACCTTTTGCAGGTGTTCTTTTTCTTCATTTTTCTCTTTCTTTTTTACAAGAAGAAGGAAGGTTTTTAAAATATTCTTTTGTAACAGTACCCATGACTTTTTAAATGTTAACTATGGAAATATCAGAACCTGTGCAGTGAATGGTTTTGTCTTCTTTTTCTTGCAACATTACTCTTTTCAGTTTCACTTTGCCTTGACCCAACTCCACCTTAATGAAAATAAGACAGCAAGCAAAAACAAAATGTTAGAAACTGTGCACAACTGTTCTATGTTTCACCATACCACAATGGCTTGTCATGTTGTCTGAACCCAGAAAAATTGCCTCTAGTTTCTAGGAATTTACTCAAAAATTTCAGTTGACTGGTAGGCCCATTCCTGTAGTGATCAGATATGATTCCATCCTAGGAATATTAGGCAGAAATGAATCCTGGAATTCCCATTGTACCAGGAGTTGTAGTACATGGCTGCATTTTTGCCATGTAGTACTGGCTGCCATTTGCCGAAGCACGCATGGATTGCTCCGGTACTTCTGCGTGTGGCTCCCACAAGAGCCGCATGCAATTTATTTTGTCCCCTGCACTTGCTGGACTGGTTCTCTTTGGTGTAACAGTGCCATCATATGATGCCCCATCATGTCTTGGCTCTGTAGACAACCTGCAATCTACTCCCTGCTTGAAAATGGTTGAAAGGCCAGTGGATGCTAGAAAATGTAGTGCTTAAAAGGCAGCAAAATCATTCAAAACCAGCCTTGAAAAGAGGAGACAGCCTATTTGGTGAAAGGTGACTTTTTATGGGCTAAAGGTCCTGCATGAAAATTTGGTGGAGTCCCACAGCATTAAGAGAGCATTCCCTCCCCTCCCCTCCCCTCCCCTACCCCTGCATTCCAGCTGTCTTTCAGAAAAAATGTATAATTGATAAACAATTTTTCGACTGCTTTGTGCCTTTTCTGCCCAGTTGTAGGTCACACATCTGCCACCCTCTCTGTGATGGTCGCTGGGTTTTTTGAGTTACGCAGGAAACATTTCCCTGTGGTGGAACAGACTCTCTCAGGAAAAGATCTCCTTGTTTCCTCCATGCCGTGCGTCCATCTGGCTCCACAATACATCTTCCTTGGTGTGGCAGAAGCTCTGGTGGCTCCTTCCTGTAAGAAGACCATTTTGTTTCATTTGAGGTCTCAAAAATCAACTAACTCAAGCATGGAATGACATCCGTTTGAGCAAGAGATGGGTTGAGTAGCTTTCATCAGCCGCTTCAGCCGGGGTGCTCTTCCACGGCTTTTCCTCATTTGTTTTCCTTGTGGTTACTGCTCATGGAACAGGGATGTTCTTTGCAGTTAGGAGCAATGTCTGATTTGCCACCCTGGGGGGCTCCCCATCCTTTAGCTATGGGAAAGGCACTCCAAACCGGGCCTCTTTGCTAAAGGGAGAGGCAAGTTCCCAGATGCCAACCCCAGCACTTTATGGTCAACCCGATACCCCTTTTTCAAGGATGGAGGTCCACACAGGGGAAGCTCTGCCATATCAAACAGTAGGGAGACCCAAGCCCTCTTCTTACAGCACGAGAAGCAGGGCATGTCAGAGGCTCTCCCAGGCCTGCTGACCTGCCACCACCTGAAGGGAAGTCCAACTCGTCTCAGTCAAGAACAGAAGTTTATGTATGATCAGGAGCACCACTCTCAAGATAGACAGATGTCACATAGGTATTAGATAGATGCCACTTGCACATGAATACATATATGTATATTTGGTCTGCCTCCTTGGAAGCTTATGTATAATTTTTTCTCTTTATTTCTGTCTATAAACTTTAATTGTGTGTGTGTGTGTGCGCGTGCGCACTTACGTAAACACACATATATATTTCGTACCTATTAGTTGAAACTGATACAGTTACATTTCCCTTTCTTTTTACAGTTTTGTTGAAATTGCCATAAAATAAATGAGAAAAGAGGCAACTTCAGAAAGGAAGCTATACCTGCATTCACTTGAATGAAAGTAGAAATCTTCATGGGATTGAGCACCGTGTTTTCCTAGGGTTACCCACTGCATGTGGGGATTTCTACTCTCATGCAAGTAAATATAAATAGAAGCCTTCTTCAGACAACCCCAGCAGGGACTGAGGAAGTAGAACCAGTGGTGCTGAGCGCCACAGCGTCTTACTTGCATTTACATCCCTTTTTGATGGTCAGTGAGGTTTAAGATCTAAATTAATCTCTAATTAATCCTTCTATTTAACCCAGGGGACTGCACCCAAAGTGTCTCACCTCTCCCTCCACCCCACTGGAGTTAGAATTCATGTTAGAATATAATGGCTGCTTCAGGTCGTTTTGATACAGCCTAAATGGTCGCCGAGCAAGTAAAATTACGGGAAATACAGTAACTCCTTTTGCCCTGTGAATGTTGCATTGTGAAACACTCCATGCGTGCAACCTTTTGGTGTCCCTTCACGCCTGTTTTTTCTTTTTTTAATTTTCCTTGCTTTGAAAAGGTTCCTTTGTGATATTCAAGTTCACACCAGGCAGAATCCGTGGGATCGCCTTGCACGTCTCCACGTTGTTCAGTGGCGCTGGCTGCATGATGGGAGCTTTTCTTGTTCAAGTGGTTTACACGGCCTCACAAGGTAAAAGGATTCTTATGCACAGCAAAGATGCCAAGAGTGGGATTTTCGGCCTCTTCCTATTGGCTATTAGCTTCCATCAGAAGCCTATAACTAGCTCTGTGTGCCAGGAGTTTATTGATCTCTCTTCCCTGATTAAGATAGGTCACTATGTTTCAGTGGGAGTCATCAAAATGTAATGAATCATACCTATTTTGACAGGCCGAATAATTAGTATGTGGTATCTTTATAGGGCTTCTTTGTCTGGAAAAGGGGTAGAAATCATCCAAGATCACAGGCTGTTGTTTTTCCAGCAGAGGCGAGGAAGGGGTTAAAGAAAGAATATTTGCCACTGGGTTATTCAAACAGGATTGAGCCTGGGGCAAAACCCAGGAAATGTATTTTATTTGTTTATTTTTAGGAACATTTTTACCTTTCAGCACATTTTTCCAAGGTGGTTTGCAGTAAGTAGATTTTAAACAAAAAGAACAACAACCGTGTGTTTAAAAAGAGCAGCATAAAGCACATAGCAAATAGCACAGAATCAACACTATTGTATATTTTAAAAGTAAATCAAGAGAAGTATTATTTTTAAAAAAATCCTTAACCAAGCAAAGTTAAATTAAACACCTTGTTAGGGTCTGGAACTAAGGAGAGAACCAAGCATAGTTCCTAAGGGAGAGAATTTGAGTGATATGGGGCCACAGCTAAAAATCCCCTATCTCATGGATTCACCGATCTGACTGAATTCACCAGGAGATCTGCTGAGCAGGGTTTTGTGGCCAACTGTAGGGTCTGGACAGGATCATATGGGTGCAGGCAGTCCTTGAAGTCCTTCAGGTTTGATTGCAGTGTTGGCACTTTGCGATAAATAAGTGGGTTTTGGGTTGCAATCTGGGCACTCGGTCTCTAAACGGTTCGCCGTCCCTGGGACAGACTAACTATTCTGATCAATCAGGTTCAGAATCAGGAAGCTTTTCTCCTCAGTTTATTGATGGCCAGTTGGCAGTGCTGGTTAGCTCAGCTGTGAGAAAAGGCCGATGGCAGTGGATGTGATATTCTTGTTGTTGTGGCTCCAAGTTGCTTCGCATCTACTTTGGAAATGTATGTTTAAACAAATATGGATTCCTTGCTCTAAGCTCTACCTGACATTCCTAAAACACTGTATCCTCCACATACATTTGCACATTATTCCACATAGGTTGGTGCATGCTTTCCAATTTAGTTTGAAGACATAAATCCACTTTCTCAAACCATCCCAGCATTTTCTAAACAAAACAGTCACAAATGTTCTGTCCTTTCCTCATATAGGAGTTGCTTCAACCCACTGACCATTTTGGTGGCCCATTTATGGTGCCTTTCCAGGTACACCATCTGTCTCCTCAGCTCTCAGGAATAGAACTTTACTCATGCTTCCAAATGTGATTGTACCATAGATTTATATAAAGTGTTTGGACCTCGAAGTTCTAGGATGAATTGATCTTTTTCCTGGGAAGCCAGACAAGGAAGGAATGGAATGGGATTATGCGTGGGGGAGAGTTGTTTTTTAATTTGTTTTCTGGCAGGCTTTTTAAATATTTGGGAATTAATGTCAAGCTCCCTATTCGCTTTTTAATTTTTTTAAAGATACCTCGTTGCTTCTGACCTTGACTCTCTTTTTTCTAAATTAATCTATCATTTTTACTGCTCTCCTCTTTGCTAAATGTTAAGGTCAAAAACCTCCCTAGGGCGCCAAGAAATCGTAATGCATTCTGCTGGTAGGTGTGGGCGTTGGAGAGTGATTGTGTGTGTGTGTGTGTGTGTGTGTGTGTGTGTGTGTGTGTGTTGCAAATTTTAAATGTGATACTGTGGTATCATTTTACTGGGCTGAAAAAGTGTCAAGTCATGTCATGAGATTATTTTTCCCGTTTGTTTATGCGTTGGGGAGGACACCTGAAAAGGGAGGGCTCTTTTGTATGTTGGGGGGTTGTTTCAGAGTGTACACAAATGCCATTGTGGCACAAGGATTAGAAGAGCCTTTTCCAGCTGCAGTTCCCATCATTCCTGGCTGGCTGCCCAACATATTTGGAGTTGCAATGCAGCAGGTCTGAGGAACACCAAGCTGGGGAAGCTGGGTTGGAATGGGAGGCTGCGGCGAGAGAGAACTGGGTCATATCCCAGTGATTCACAAGCTCACTGGGTATCTTTGGGTCACTCACCAACTCTTTGCCTACTTTTCAGGGTTATTATGAAGATAACATGTTGGTGTATGTAACAGGGAAGAATCCTATACATTTCCCTTGTAATGCAATGGGATAAAACTATAATGCAGTAAATACATGTAGATTCACATAGATTTCTTTAAAGGGAAGTAAATGTGAAGTTGCATATTACCTAGCACAGACCCTGACTTTGATATTTTTTCGCCTTAAAGTTGAACCCAGTGACAGCTCTAAAAAATCTTAAATCATGCTAAATTGCAGCATGAAGAATCATTCCTTTATTCCATTTTATTTTTGAAAATGTATACATCTCATTCAGGGATGATTCATGCTTTATCTTCTACAAAAGATTTTTAAAAATATAAATTCATCAAGGAAATAAAACAATGAAACAGTACAGCAGGATAAAAATTTCCAATTAATGAAAGGTTTAAAAGGGTTAAAAATGTTAAAGGGTTAACAGTAAAAGCACGGGGAAACAAAAAGGTATGTGTCCAGCACAGGTGAGCTTGGCATTGCCAGCAAGTGCCATTGTTGTGCATCTGTTGATTTTGTGTAGCACAACGTCAGGAGCCCTGGTATGTGGACTCTGTTGGATGCTTTGCAGTATCTCCAGTTCTAACCATTGGATCTGAAACCGATCTGGGAATTGGGACCAAATCCAGAGTGCAACAGGATATGGAAGAATTTTCAACTAGAGTATTTAAGCCTCATTTTTATCCCATAGCATCTTGTTTCTCTAAAGTTGCGTTTTGCTGGCAAAGTAGATAAGATAGTCACCCAGAGCCTTAAGTGGCGTTAATCATTTTTTAAAAAATGCATCTATGAAGGATGGTGTGAATATGATAAAATAAGACTTCTTGGAAATTTGATGAGTGCAAACAGATGACGGGTGACAGTGATATTTTCAGTACAAGCAGAGGAAACTGATTTCTTAAGGCTCTTTATACCTCCCTTGACATTTTAATGAGACACATGACAAAACCTATCCCCCTATGAGACTTGTTATGGGAATAAGTTTATCTAAAAGTTGTAGTGCAGCTATGCATGGTGAGGTTTGGCTTGGTGGCTGAAAGCAAGAGGGACTGGGCTGAACTCAGTGCCCTGCTGGGGTTCGGTTTGTACTCATCATGAGATGGCTCTTTCCCCGTGTGCAGAGATGGTAACAGTTGCAGAGAAGAGAAATCTAAGAGAAATTTTGGTGGCAGTGAAGGGACAGGCTCCAGGCAATCTCATTCATTATAATGTCTTAACTTACGTGCCAAGTCTAACTTCCAGCTTGGATTTTTGTTGGTCTCTTTCGCTTGTTATAACAGATTTATAACAGATAACAAACCTTTGGATGCTTCAGGTTTTGAGCAAATCTAACCATGATTCTCTACGTTCCACCCATCTCTCCCATTGTCCCACCTACAACTTCCCTCTCTGTTTCGCAGTTTTGCATGGTATAAGTTCAGTTCTCATGGAATCCTTAAGGGGGAAGAGAGAGAGGAAGCATGGAAGGGAATGTGATAGAGGAAGGAAAAGAGAAGAAAGAACAGGAAGGGATGTGAGGTAGTTGTTGGTCTGTGTGGAGCAGGATTTGACAAATGCATGGAGCCTAGGTTCATTGGCAGCTAGGCAAGCTGACACTTAAGTGGAATCACCATGTACAAGGGCAGTGTTCTTCCCAATACTAAATGCCGGGCTTGAACTATTGAGAAAAGGCATCCCTCGCGAGCCCTCCATGTGAGGTGCGCAGAGGCACCGACAGGCCACTGCTGGGAACCGAATGCTGATTTAATTGGACCTTAGAGTTCTTGTCTTCTCATTCAGCTGGGCTTGGTTAAAAAGCCGTTCTTCACTGAGTGATTCATTTGCAAGATCTCTTCAGCTTAGGCCCCGTAGAAGGAATAGTGGACCTTAAAAGAGCAACAAATACTTTGCTTTGCCTCCCTGCCACCTCACTCCAGGGTGAAGGCGGGATCTGTTGATTCTTATGTAATCCGTCAAACCCAGACACGGCATGCACTGAGATTTCAACTTGGAAGCGATGAACATGAAATATGTCGGGAGTGAGCTTTCATAGCACTTACTCAGAATGCTTTGTGGCTCATCTGCTGGGGCGAGGCTTGCAAAAATCTGCTCATCGTTAAAATGGGTGTTTAACCATTTGTCTTTGCAGAGAGGCATGTTGAGAGAAATGTATACAATATGGTACCCATCTGGAGGCTGCTGAGAAGTATTGCTCTGAGGTGGCTGTACCATGTGGTAGAGATCTTACCATATGTGTTATCCCAGTGACATGCAACATCCACGACTTAGCACTGCATCTCCCTCTGAAGCAGAGAGGCCACTTGTGCATGCCAAGGAAGAGGAAATGCATTGCCAAAAGAAGATGCCAATGTGCATAGCATTTGTATATGTAAATATACATGTAGAGGTGCAGACTGAAAACCGTAGCTTGCATAGAAATACAGGGTGTCTCACCACAGTGGAGAAGACTGAAGAACTGAGGTGAACTTATTTGCCTGCTCAGTTTGCTCTCTAGGTGCTCACCAGATGGTCAAATCCAGGCTTCTTCTTCAGTCTTCCCTCCCAGCAGTGCTTGGACTTTAACTCAAAGTTGGATTGGACACTTCATCAAATACAGGGCACTTTCCAATGGAGGCCTGTCCTCCGTAAGGTGGGAGACTTGGCCACCCTTACGGGCAAGCCAGGTATGATTCCTCTTTCTCGTCTTCAGAGCTCTAGCCTAGGTAGGGAAGCCTGCGGCATTCAGCCCAATCTTAGGTCACCCTTGGCCTAAAGTCTGGCAGCAGCGGTGGGGATGCTACAGGGAGAAAGTGAGGGGAGATCTGAAGCAGATGGGGTGGAGAAAGAAACGTGGGGAAGCCTTCTGCAGGCAATCACTTCAATTCACTAGCAAAAGTGATCTGTTCCTTCTTAGCAGAGAAGAGACTAAATGTGGAGGCTGGTTGTGTAGGAAATACAGAGCAAGAGAAGGCACGTGCAAAGCAGCGGCCCTACAGAAGATTGGCTCAAGACCTGACCGATTTCCTCCACACACATGCACACAAAGGGAATGTGTCACTCGACAGAGAAAGAGATTCCCCACTCCTTTCCCCATGAACCACAACCATGGGATCAGGCTTTGTGTCGACATTTGAAGCCCCCAAGAACTTAGGACATGTATATTTCAGAAGAAACGGGAAGGTGATGTGGTATTTCCCAGCCATCGTGGCTCAAGGCCTCCTCCACATATGTCCCATTTAAAATCTCCAATGTTCATTTCCCGGCTTGAAGAAATGTTACGAATCTTTTGCACTGAGGGTCGTTGATTTTAATTTGGACAAGTTGGGGAGTCTGTTTATTTTTTTAAAAAAAGCACTTTTGTTCTCTCTGCAATTATTGCTCTCTGCACTGATTGGTTGCTTTCTTGTTGTGGATGTTGACCAATTGTGTTATTTTAAACGTGATTCTACTTATTGAGAACATTTGTGGGTTATTTCTAAAAGCAAACAAATCCAAAACATAGTGATAGACAACACAGGAAACACCTGAGAAAGAAAAAAAAATTCATGAATGCAAGCCAAAGCAGTGTTAAACCTGGCAGCAAAATAATAATAATGATAATAAGTAATAAAATCAGTCATTCAATTCATGCTTTTTAAAAGGCTGACCCCAGTAACAACCTTTTGACCTGACAGTGGTGGGAATACACTGTCAAAACCTAGCATATATTTCATGCTAATAAATTCAGCAGAGTAGGTTGATCCTCATCACATTTTACCTCAGTAAATGAGAGAAATATGGAGGAAAGACTCAACTGCCAATCTGAAGGCTCAATATGGTACACGCTTTATTGGTTGTCTCGGTTTTGTTGAATAAGGCAGGAGATATATTTAATAGTCATTATAAAATTGCTTCCAGCAATAACGTTCGTCTATTCCTAAATGCAGGTGACGTTTAACAGGGTTAGGAGCAATTTTGAGTGTTTGGGGCCAAAACAGAGCCTGAACTGAAAGGGTCTTCTGTCCAGTGGAGGTTCATGGTAGGGTATGTCTGTTCCAGGTCGTAGTGCGAAATTTTAAGGAGCTAT